GGTAACGGAGAATGAGTCTTAGTGTACAGCCATCTTCCCCTTCCCCTCAGGGTTACTTTCGATCTGAATCTCCCATATCTACTAGACAGGATGTGCAGAAGGTCAATGCAAATATAAATACACAGGTTTCGGGGCGTGTACAAAATACGCCGAACACTAGTGGGGAGTATGAGGAAACACAATATTTCATTAGGCTGTTCCCCCCCCGGTGCTATCAGGAGTAAATGAGCTAAATCAAGTTTTCTGTTGTAAAACTTGTTTTTCTTTAATTATTCGAATAGAACGTTAATATGAACTCATTCTAGCACAAAGTCCAATATCTTTATGATTTGTTAGAGGTGATTTAATACAGTGTCAAACTAATCTGGCACCTAAAAATCCCTTTTAAGTCACTGACTGTGTCTGGCTATGGGAAATAAATGAGTTGATACTGTACAATATACTTAGTACCACCAGGGGGCGAGTAATTACTGTAATCTGAATCCTACACATCCTGGTTGTTAATTAAACAAAGGAAGCATTTACACGTTTCCCTGTAAAGTGAAACAGAAATAGTTCAGTAAATCTAGGTCAAAGCAAAGTATGTTTGCACTCCAAAATGTGATTTTCTGCCTGATACAAGACAAAAAAGCAACATGCACTCATGCATCCTCGATGCTGTTGTGGACGCTGACTGGAATCATTTCTTTCTGACAAAAAAAGTAGGATTTCACAGTAAAAATGAAAGTAATACTGTTGGCCACTGTAAGAACACACCTTATGTCCAGTATTGTTTCTGAATCCTGACCATATTAAGAAGTACTTGTGACTCCCACAAATGTGGAGCAAATGATTTTTTAAATATGTTATATAGTGGAGCATTGTGTACACACTGTATACAGCGGTTATACTGTTTGTCTTCCACAGTTACTGAACACTTCCAGCATGTTCAAAAAGTCCAGCGGGGGCCACCAGTCTTGTCACTGTGGTTGGTCCAAAGTGACGACCTACCAAGGCCTGAGAACTCACCAGGGGAAGAAGGGATGCACGCCAAAAGGGTTGGGGATTCCCGCGAGTGCACGGAGTAATCAGCCACAAATATCTCACCAAAATAGGCCAAGTTATAGTACTCCAGTCAAGAAAGAGGTATGTTCAAGCAAAGACAAAACTGTATGTTCCTGAACGAAATGCTATGGTTTTGTTAGAAATACAGATTTCAGTCGTGACCCCACAGCTATCAAGACTGTATAACGTACCGTTACAGCTTCCTAGGAGGAGTGGGCAGACAGCACCCTGTGGCCTGTTCAGTGACACCACAGAGGGATTCGCTCCTGGTTTTACGCGCATACGCACTGAAAATCATAACATTTTCTTTTCGATCCAGTCATTTTCCTGAATGATTTCTTTCTTCCTCCACACGGAGACGACTTGGAAAGAGAGCTCCATGCCCTCTGTCCGGTGTACACACTGTCCCATTAGCCCACAGAGCAGCTTTCAGACAAACACAGCAGTTGTTGTGCACTACAGGGAGCACTCTCTTGGGAAGCCCCTGACTAAGCAGCGGCTGTCTCACTGGTTGTGTGAGGCCATCATACAGGTATACGTGTCACCCCAGAATGTGATTTTCGGCCTGATTTTCTTCCACAGTTACTCAGCAGTTCCAGCACGTGCAGCATGGGCCACCAGTCTTGTCACTGTGGCTGGTCCAAAGACACGAGCTACCACGGCCTGAGAACTCACCAGGGAATTATGGAATGCACGCCGAAAGGGATGAGGATTCCCGAGAGTGCAC